CACGCTTCTTTCCCTGCAGTCCCCGTGGGTGCCTGGCCCTTGCTGCCTCTTGCTCTTCCCATTTGAGAGCCGGGGCCTGGGGGTTGTTGGTCCTGCCCAATATCCCTGAGCAAGGTGGAATGCCAGGATTTCGTCCTGTAGCAGAAGGTGCCCTGCGCCATCGCTGGGTGACTGTCCTCACCACCTGAGGTCAGTGCCCTGCCACCACCACCCCTCCCGCGGATCACTCAGCTTTGGCTTCTCTTACCCAGCCGTGGCTTCCGAGGTCCCCATGCCAGTGGGCTCATCCTCAGAGAGTGGAATGGCGACAGGGAGCATCCTTTCAGTTTTGTCCCCCGTACCCCTGCATCAGGCTCATGTGAGAACCGAGGCCAGGCTGCCCAAGGCTGTCTCTTCATGCTTCAACAGTCCTGAGTCCCATGACCTCCCAGCAGCCTGACTCTGGCCTTGGTTACCCTCACAGGTAGAGTCCTGCCTCCTCTCCCTCGCATCCCCACCCCCTTCCCCAAAGGACTGTGTCTCTGAAGTCCTGGGCAGCTTTGCCTCCTGACCTAACTGCTGGAGACACTGGTGTTCCTAGGGAGGAGTTTCTCTGCATCTAACAGCACAGAAGCTCCTGGGGCGGGCGGTGGGGGAGGAACTGAGAAGATGAAAATGTCAGCTAGAGCCCTGGAGAAGAGGAGTTGACTATTAGTCTCCACGTCTAATTGGGAATGAGTCAGGTTTTTATACATACACACGCACACAAAACCCTTGGGATTGCAGCAGTGTTCTGACACGTCTTCCAAACCTAATTCCACCTCCTGGCCTCCCTGGCTCTGTCCCCAGCATCCCATCCTCCTGATCCCAGACACTTGGGTCTGGTCCTTCACAGTTGCTCGAGCCAGTGCTGGGTACGCGCCCTCTTACCCTGCGAAGCGCCCTCTCCTCCTCTAAGGTCCAGTGCTCCAGCATGTGTTCCAAGTGCTCGGCTTGTCTGAGAGGTTCCTGCCCTCAAGGCCTGGAGGTGCTCTCAGTGTAGCTCCCATGGTGTGGCTCACGTGGGGCCAGACGCAGCTGAGCTGAGCTGTGGAGCTCCAAAAAGGGGGGGTTCCAGAAAGGAGAGTTTTTCAGGGCTTCCTGTGAACCAGGTAGGGGGAATCTAGACTTCCTGGTCAACTTAGATCTGTAACTGTGGCCAAGGGGCTGGGAGGACAGAAGTGAGAAGGATTCATGGGAGTGATGGGTGGTCGTTGGGTTGCTGGTTGGAGGGAGGTGGGGAGCCTGAGAAAGGCCAGGATGTGGATGGGCCGGTGTGACATGGAGTCTGAAATGGTCAGAGTGATCCAGCTTGGGGTCTCCAGTGACTAAGAGAGTTGTCCCTTTGAATATGGTGTGTGGCTATGAAGGAAGCAGCAGGCCTGTTCACGTAGAAGAGCAAAGGTGGACACCGAAGTCCTGACCGTTGGCTGGGATATGGAAGAATTCATGTGTGAGAGACTCTTTCATTGGTTCATGCCCTATGTGCCCCTGGGAGGGTGGGCCTGAGGAAGGTTAAAGACCCCTGGCTGATACCATCTGGAAAGCGGGGGGCCTGGGAATTAGCAAGAAGGTTCCTGGCCACTGTGAACTCTGGCTCAGGAAGAGACTCAGTGTGCAGGAACCTTAAGGACTGGGCTCAGACTGCTGTCGTATATGTGTGCCTTCTCTTGGTAGCCAGAGCCTGCTCTGGATTCCCTGGTTAAATAAAAGTGAAAGTGAAATAGAAGGGAGAGGTCAGTGCTTTCCCAGAAGGATTTCACTATATATCCTGCCCTTCCCAGAACCAGCTCTGGCAGTGGAGAGAACTTTACCTCCCTTTGTGACTAGGTAAGTCCCTGGTCCTCTTTGGGCCTCAGTTTCCATGCCTGTAATGAAGGGGTTAGATTGGACTAGTAACCAGTATAATGTTGATGGTAATAAGAGCTAGGGTGGGGATCCCCTGGCTTTGTTTTTAGGGGCTGGAAGAGCTCTAGCCTATGCCCGATGCCAGTCCTCCAGGAGTTGTCACAGGTGGACAGGACAGAGTAAATAGCAGTGCCTGACGGCCCACTGAAAAATTAGAGGTAGGGCGGGGCTGTGGAGTCCACAGGAAGAAGGCCACACGTATGCCTGGGATCTAAACAAGCCTCTCAGAAGACGTGGGAGAAGCAGTTTTTCACCATCTCCTCCCCCGCCTCCCCCAGAGAGGAGGAAGTTGTCACAGATATATAGGTCCAGGCGTGCCAGCTCCTGACACACGCTTCACGACCATGAGACAGAACTGGATGCCAGGTGGGACCTGGGGCTGTGCACGTGCAGGTGGAGGGGTGGGGCTGCATCCTGAGACCAGAGTGGAGCCATGTGGCCGGCCCTGAGCCTCACCCCCAGGTGGGCTCCCCTCAGCTGCTGTGCTGTTGCTTTCGGCCTCTGCCCGGATGCTGTGGCTCTGGCTCCATTCCAAGGTCTCCCTGTGCTCCATTCAAAAAGGGCTAAGAGTTGGGGCTTGAGGGGTCCTTCTGCCTCTCCCCTTCCCTGGGCAGAGCCCAAGAATCTCTGCCAGACTTACATCCTGGCAGCAACTCCCTCTCTAACCAAGATCCGAGCTAGGATGCCGGGCAATCCCCGGAGGTCAGACAGCTGCTGACCTCTGTGACTGTCCTTTCTTCAGACCCCAGCCCTCTTTGGGCCCTGCTCCTCTGTGCCCACATTGTCTCCCACCTGGCCAGAGCCACACCTGTGCCTCAGGCCACTACAGCTGCCACTGCCTCAGCTGGGATCGCAAAGGACACCTGCCCCTCCCAGCCCCCAGTGCTCCTGACAGCTAAGCAGTGCCCAGCATTGGAAGTGACCTGGCCGGAAGTGGAAGTCTCACTGAGTAAGGAGCCATTCTGATGGGAGCCCAGGAGGGCACGGTGGTCAGAGGGCGGGCTGAGGGCACAGAGGCACCAAGGGTGGGGTTGGTTTCTGAGCACCTGTCCCCCAACCTTCTGTCACGTAGCCCACCACCAACCAGGTCAGCTTGGCTGAGCACTGACTTCCTCTCTCCGCCAGCATCGCCAGTGTGGCACAGGGCTCAGCTCGCAGCTCCCAAGATGCTCCCTGTCAAAGGGGACGGAGAGGATTCAGACAGAAGGAACAGTCAGTGGACTCCCAGAGCCTTGACTGCAGTGGCTGCAAGCCCAGCCCCTCCTCCCAGAGCCCACTTGCCCTCTGGCCTCCTCAGAGGAGCGGTGGCCTACTGGTGCTGTCTCCGCAGCCAGGGCTCCTAGAGTCACTGGAGCTGGGTGCTAGAAAGGGTCATTCTGAAGAAGAAAGCTCAGGAGTCAAGGACCTAGACCAAAGACCCGTCCCCAAATTCCTCCTACTCAGCTGGGGTCCCCTGGTAGACAACTGCACTTCCCTTAACAGACTCTCCACTCCAGGTTCCTGGATCATGGCAGCTGGGAAGCTGGGCAGGGTGGGCAGGCCACAGTGTGGTAGAGGGGAGGGTCTGCTGTACAGACGGGTTAACAGCCACACGTGTCCCTAGATGGAACGCTGACCTTGTCCTGTACTGCCTGCAGCCGCTTCCCCCACTTCAGCATCCTTTACTGGCTGGGCAACAGCTCCTTCATCGAGCACCTCCCGGGCCGGCTGCGGGAGGGCAGCACCAGGTGAGGGGCGCGGCGATGAGGCCGGTGGGAGGGAGGCCTCCTCCTACGGTCCTCTCATGGCCTCTCCTCCTCTCCTGTTCCAGGCGGGAGCACAGGGGCACGAGGACCCAGCTGTGGAGGGCCTTGGTGCTGGAGGAGCTGAGCCCCACCCTGCGAGACACCAACTTCTCCTGTGTTTTCTCAGATCCTGGGCAGACTGCCCAGCGTCACCTCGTCCTGGCCCAGCTCTGGGTGAGGAACCCCAAGGGATGGACTCCGGGGACGGGAGGAGCTCTGCTCTGGCGTGGGGAGGAAAGGGTGGGCTCTGTCCACAGCAGCCTCCAGCTAATGCCCACCAATTCCCCGAGCCTGAGGCGGAAACTAAAAGGAACAGGATTCAGGCAGGGGAGGCATGGCCTGGAGAAAAGTGACAAGGGATGTCTCTCCCACCTTGGCCCTGATCCTTGTTTGCTTCACTCCCCCAGGCTGGGCTGAAGACAAGCGTGCCCCCTGACACAAGAAGCCCCATCCTCCAGCAAGTCCCCTCAGCCTCACCATCCTGATAATGAACCCCAAGCTCCAAAGCCTGGTTGAAATGCCACCTCTTCATTGAGGTCTACACGCTCTCAGCCCAGGCCACATTCTGCATCGACTTAATGTTGTATTTGTTTCCTTTAATGGCCTGTCCCAGGGAAGGTATGCGGGGAGAGGCTGCTTCTGACCCATAGCTGTATCTCTGTCACCCCAGCAAGACCTACGACGGGTGCTCATAAATGATCTTCAGTGGTGGCGTACTGATGTCTGCCCAGTCATTTATCCTTTTGGCCATCGTTCTACTCACAGAACGTGGCCTGTCTGAGGAGGGAGTGTGGGAAGAGGAGAATGCCACTCAGAAGCTACAGACAAAACCAGATTCAGGGGACACAGGCCCTCAGAAGAGAAGAGGCCGGCCCATAATGCTCCTCAGGAGCAGAGGCCAGAAATGGAGTGTGGGAAGATCCTGTGGCCTGAGAAAGGCCAGGAGAAGGGATTTGAGAGAAGGTATGTGGGTCTGGAGTCTCCACAGGGACAAAGGTACGCTGCTCTAAAAAGCCCAGGTTTCCCTGCTTTTCCCACACAGATCAAGGTGTCTCAGCATTCAAGGGAGAAAAATAGACTTTATTTACAAGTAATAACATTTAGAAAAGATCCATCCCTGGCCCTTAAAAACCTTCCCATCACTCCAAATCCCACCCCAGTGAAATCTGGGGAAGGGGATGAGCTGCCACTGAAGGCTGCCCCCCGCCCCCGTCCCCCACTGAGGCATAGGGCCCCTTTCTCCTGGAAAAGAGCATCCTTTGGGCAACCGTGCCCTTGGGTGGATGGGAGCACCTGGGGGTGGGGCGCTCCCACTAGGTCAATGCCCAGTCCTGGACTTCAAAAGCAAGGGCCCTTGCTCGGCCCAGCCACCGGGAGCAGCAGGGACCAGGGCCTGCTCCTCCAGTGGTCGGTCCCTTCTAGATCCAGAGGCTGAGAGGAGGACTGACTGGGCCCAAGGACCCAGCCACTCAAAGCCAGCCCCAAATCTGGTTGTGATGGTGCTGGAGAAGTGACTGCTCTAAGAAAACATCAGGAGGCGAGGCAGGGAGAGGACCCAGACTATCCAGGCTCCGGGCCAACTCTTGAGGACACACCTGTTCACCTGGCGAAGGTCTGGGTACCAGGCGTCACTGTCTATAGGGGTTTGGCCACTGCCGGCCTGGGAGCTGAGAGAAGGCACTGAAAGGGACAGAACAAGAAGGACCAGGCGAGGGCAGCATCAAGGACACAGGTGGGGCCACTCACTGGTACCGGCTCTTTATTGCTTTGCCTGGAAGAGAGAGAGAGACAGTCACTCAAGTGGAGGAGACTCGGTGCCAGGCTTCACCAGCGGGCTGGGGAAACCCCCCTGCCCCCCCGCCCCCCAGACTAGGGTCCCCTCCTTGGTGTGACCCTGGACTCATCTACCTTCAGGTTACCAGTGGCTGGCTGTGCCTAAGCAGCTCTGGGTGCTCTCGGGAGAAATGGAGGCGTGTCCTCTCCTCCGTAAGGAGCAGCTAACCAGGCCGGGAGCACCTGCTGTCAGCCGAGGCCCTCCCTGCCCTCCAGCAGCCTAGCTCCGCCCTGCCTGGAAGCAGCCCCTGGGGTGGCTGGCGGGGGGCGGGGGGCGGGGGTGCCCATGCTCCTACCAGGTTCCTAAGAGCCGAACCCTCTCCCTTCCCCGACAGTGCCTCCACCTTGCCCTTGGCCCGAGGGGTGGCAGTGGCAGCGGCGATGGCGGCGGCAGTGGCGGCACTGGCTGTGGTGGTGGCGATGCGAGGAGAGCGGCGGGTCCCACTGCGGGGGTTGGGGGAGGCCTTGGATGGGGCTTTCTTAGAGGCTGCCCTCCGCAGAAGGCTATTCCCGAGCTTCTTAGGTGTGTTGAGGATGCTGAAGGCCATCGACTGGCGGCGGTCAGCCTGTAGGGAGAGGCTGTCAAACTGGGGGCGCCACTGGCCTCAGGCCAACCTGCTGCTCCAGGGCTCTGCCAGCAAAGCCCCTCCAGGGTCTCCCTTCAGCCCCTGACTAACCTGTTTAACAACAGCTGGAGCTGCTTTCTTCTGGGCCTCGGTAGTGCTCTGTCTGCGCCCTTCATGTCGGTCCCGGGGAGTCATGGGGCGTGGGAAACAGGTGGTGGCCTTCTTAGACTATGGGGAAGAGAACAGTTAAGCCGGACAGCTCAAGAGGACAAGTGGACCGTGTCCAACCAGCACCCGTCCCCGTTCTGAGCCGGAAGCCTCCCCGCTAATCAACTTTGCGAACATGGTGGCTGCTGGAAAAGACATGGGAGCCGATGTCACCCACCTCGGGGGTGCCAGGGCCCTGGTGGGGCTCTGTGGAGACCCGTTTGCGCTGCTGCCGGGTGGTGATGCCAGCGCCCTCAGCTATCTGGGCTGGCTGCATGCTGGCTCGGCGCAGGGTCTCCCGGGGGTCACCGGTTTTTATCTCCTCATCTGTGATGGTAGGCAGGCTCAGGGAAGGCTGCGTGGGGTAGAAAAAGTGGTCGGTGGAGCCAAGCTGTTCGGAGGTGGAGCAGGACCGCCCCAGAACTCTCTTCACTGGCCTAGCTTGTGGAGCAGCTAGAGCCTTCCTATCACAAAAAGCTCCCCGCCTACGCCCTGCATGATGGCCACAAAGAGCAGTCCCAAGAGACCTCTCCAAGCTCCTGCCCACCCACAGGACCTTCACCCCTGAGCTCCCTCCCTGCCAGCTATTTGACTGGAAGCAGGTCACCCTCCTCAGCAGGTGAGGGCACTGGGGTGGGGTGACGAGGAAGAGGTGAGCCAACAGGGGCAGGTCCATGGCAGGGGACCCCAGAGCTCACCCTGGACTCCAGAGGGTAGCAGGTCTTTAAGTGCGGGGGGCACACTCGATTGCGCTGCTGCAACTCTGCAATGCGGTTCCAGTCATCCAGCTGCTCAGGCTCATCCTGGCAAGTGCCCATGTAGAAGCTGTTCCTGCCTGTGGAGGGCGAGGAAATTGGAGCAAGTGGGGCTGGAAGGCCAGGAGGAGAAGGGGGAGGTAGCATCCTGCCAGCCTTTGCTGCCACCACTTCCATCCACCTAGCCCTTGAACTTCAAGCCTAGCACCCCAGAGCCCTGCTCTGCTCAGTGCTGCAGATACAGGCTCGGGGCTTACAGACCATCCCTGCCCTGGGGACTGGCTCACTGCTTCCTCCCTGGGGTCATATGCAGAGGCTGTGACGCCGAGAAACTAATGGAGGGCCAGGAAGCGATACCCAGAGTGGTCCCTGAAGGCAAGAGCCTCGGAAAAGAATCCGAGCGTAGCTCCCAGGCCAGTCTGGCCTCTCTGGTAGCCCCTTCCCACCTGAGAAGGGACCTGGAGGACTCCTGACAGCAGCTGGGCAGCACTCTTGTGCTGGGAATCCCAGGCCCGTCGTGTGTTTCTGGTTTACAGCCTGGCTGAGAATGACATCAGTGTTACTGCCCAGCACAGCCCCTTGATGAACAACAGGCAAGGCCCTCAGACTGCAGGGCGGAGAGGCAGGTGAGGTGCTGGGTGGCGGCCAGGAAGCCAGCCTTGGGTTTTTAAAAGCTTGTCCCTTCCCTGTGCCAGGATCTGCTTCCAGTCTAATCTTTGGGTGTGTTAAGTCCCCACAATCCCCTCACCTGGAGGGGCCCCACTGGACACCCCAGCCTGGGAGCGGCGAGCAGAGCTGCGAGTGGTGGGCCGGTAGCCAGGCAGGCTTAGCAGAGCCGAGTTGCCGTCGTCGGGAGAGCCCAGGCGGGCTAGAGACTGGGTGGAGGAGGCAGCTCTCGGGCCGGCCTGGGAAGCAGGGGCAGACTGCGTGCTATAGAAGGAGGAGTTGGCGCTGTCTGGCTCCTCCACATCTAGCTTCTGGAAGACAGGATGCACCTGTTATAGTAGGGATAAGGGCCCTGACACCCCATCAAGAAGCCTCCCGTTCCCCTTCCCGAAGCGCCTCAGACCCCACGGCTGCACGTATCCACGCTGCCTTGCGTGGGGTCCTTAGCTGCACTTCTGCAAGAAATGGGCCTTGTTGCCAGAATCCCACACAAGGTGCTGAGGCTGTCAAGACTCTTTTCCGTCCATTTTTCCACTGAGTCTATTAACAATGCTTTGAGGGAGGGAAGGCAGAGTGCATCAGACCATTTTAGAAGTGAGGTGCAAAGGAATGAAGTGACTGGCCCAAAGGGCACAAAGCAAGGAAGCGGCAGAGCTGGGGCTGGAACTCACGTCTCCTGAGCTTGTCGGGCTCATCCCACAGTGTCCTTCCGCCCAAGTGTGCCAGGGCCCTGACCATCTTTTAGAACTTCTCCAGCTTCTCCCCACCAGAGGTGCCCCCCCCTCTCCTCCCCAACCTCCTAGTGCTATGGAAACAACGACCAGAGCCCACAGCCAGGCAGGCAGCCCGCTGGGCAACCATAACGCATCTCAGCTACTCAAGGGTGTACCCAGGGGTGTGCGGGGAGGCACGGGCTGGACTGCAACTCCTCCACATTGTCTCCCTTGAGCCTGCACAGGGTCACTGCTGTACACGGAGAGGACGGCAGCCTTAGAGTCAGTGGACAGGCAGCCAAGTCCAGCCCTGCCCCTTTCTACCAGAGGCCTAAGCAAGTCACCACCCTTAAGCTTTCCCATCTGTGGGTATGGACTGGTCAGCCCTGCCTGCTTCTTGAGGCTGTTTTGAGGACCCAATGGAAAGATGCCCTTGAGAGGAAGCAAGCATTGCTACCCTGCAGCCCCACTTGCAGCAGCCTGACCTTGGTCATGGTGATGTTGATGATTTGCGTGGTGCGCCGACGAGAGGAGCGGGTCTTCCGGCCTGAGTCCAGGAAGACATCCCCCAGGGAGTCCAGGCTGCTCTCCAGGGGGGGCTGACCCCGAGCGGGGATGGGGGTGAAGTAGAGACTCTCCAGGGATTCTACCTTGGGGGGCAGACGCTGGGAGATGGGCGAGGCTGGCTCTCCAGGGATGCTGGTGCCATCTGGCTGGGTACGAGGCAACTTGCTGTGGGGAAAAC